TGGTAAGTTGTTGCCTGGGTGTCGCCTAGTTGTCATCGGTGGGCGTCTTATGGGTTGCCAGGTCGGCCAGGTCGGATCATGTGCCGGGCTGATCCAGGAGGTCACGCAGGTCGCGCCAGGCAGTGCGCAGGTCGCGCGCCAGGCCGGCCAGGTCGGTGCCCCGACGGGACACCGACTTGGTAAGTTATTGCCTGGGTGTCGCCTAGTTGTCACGAGGTGCCACGTGTCGCAATTTCACTGGAGAGCCAAATCTGCCCTCATCATATTGGATTTGGTTGGATTGGGCCAATGGATCGGGTTTGGGTTGAATATAGGTGTATCAATGGATTGGGTTTAGGTTGAAACCAATATAAATTAAAACAAATTTGAACGGATTAGATGGTCCAGACATTAAATTGGACTGGTCCAAAATATTCATTGAATTGGATTAGACCTAGTCCATTTGTAATGGATTCATATTGGATTGGATCGGATTGGACCAAATCCAGTCCAATTGATATCCCTAGTTGGGTTAGAATGGATAGGTTAGATTTGGTGTGGCCTGGTTGGATTTCAACACTAGTTTTATACTATTTAAGTGGGTCATAAATTGATGTGGATGTGGGTGGTTTCTGTTAAAGCCACATTCCACTCCAACCTAACCCACCCGTTTGCCACCCTTACTCGCAGTCGCAGCCATACTCAAGGGTGGGCTTGTTGGGTCTAGCAGTTAGGTCCCATTATTTATGGCCCAAGTCGATGTATGAAGGAGGTTTCCTGAATCTTGATTATCAGTAGTAATCGAATGATATAAAGCTGGAACACAGCCAATGGTTCTGAGTTACAAAGTTTCAGCCCATGGGCTATTTTGGTGGGTTATAAAGTTTCAGCAGAAGGGAATGGTGGATTATTTGTGTGAAAGGTATCATGCACTTGCAGTAACCACCATGGGAGGGTTAAAGGTCGTCCTAAATTAACAAGGGCCGGTGTTGGACTGACTGGTTCAGCCGATGAAGGCATCAAGAGCCCGATCGAAACAGACGAGCTGTTTAACTGTATGGTCTCAAGCGCATGGTGTGACTATGCTTTCCCTACTTATTTAACTGTCCCAATTCCAATTAAAAATGGGTCTCGGTCTATAGTCCATACCATGAGCAATACTGGGTAGAGTTGACCATGCAATTCCCCTCCGGCCTCAGCAACAATTTAATGAAAATAGAACAACCATATATATATGTTGTGATTTCTGAATGACCCAAAATTAAAACCAAAACCAGGCCTGCCAAGCTCTTTTCAATATTCATGGTTCAATCAATTAAATCAAATGGTTTATTTTCTTTTATCAACTATTCAAAGCCTTCACAGATATATAGACTAATGAACGTTTCATAAAAACGCAAAACGGACCTTAGGATCTATGCTATGTACGCATGGACGCGGACGAGGAAAACAGAAACAAATGACTAGCTAGTAACTTCTTCTTTTTTAAGCACAAAGGCAAATTCATTCATTTAGATCATCAACATTATATCTCATCAAGCGCCAATGACCTGATAAACTCGGGAATTGAAGATCAGGCTATAGATTTCTTGTCTGAATGACAAATTGGTCTAGCCCGTGGGCTAATCCATTACAAGAACTAGATGTGTAAAGAAACTCAGCAACTGAGCTAGTAACTTCGGACCACATGCATCCGTGGATTCACATATAACGAAAACTTATAACCAATACAAACCCAGAAAGATGGCCATAAAAGCATTTCGTCTCAAGCTACTAACACATCCATCAATTCAGCTTTCCGTCTCACACTCTCACCAAAAAAAAAAGGGGGAAGATGAAAAACTAATAGAAGAAGTAAAAAAAACGCAGATCCCAACAGAAAAGGTCCAAAACCAGACCTCTACAAACATCAAAAGAAATATCCTGAAGAACCCAAATCAAAACCATCTGAAACCGACGGCGTCGCATCGGAAACCGGTGGCATCTGTCCAAAAAGCGGGCTGTGAACGAACTCATTCGAGTCAAAACTGAAACACGAGGACGACCCAGAGTCGAACCCGGCCATCGTTTGGTCCGAGTACCCAACATAATTTGTTGTATCGGGCCACACCGCCTGACCCATATCATAACCCGAAGCTGCCGCATTGCAACTCGAAACGTCAGAAGGGAATGGGGGGAGGTCCGTGCTATCGTAAAATTGGTTCGACGCTAAACCATCAACAACCCCAGCAAATGATGATATTGACTCAGAAACATTGGCCGCAACCCACGAGTCTCCGGCAGGAAATTCGCCGGAGAAGTGGGTGGCGGTGCCGGAATCCTTAGTGAAGTAGAGTTGGGTGGTTGGTTCAGTCTGAGGGGAAGGGAGTAAGAGGGCTGCCGAGAGGTCGTGTTGGGTTTCGTCCGGGGAGATGATAGAAGTGATAGAAGAGCCGGGTGGCAAGTCGGAGTAGACGAAGTTGGTGCGAGCACGAGAGCCACGCATGGAGCGGGCGGCTCTATCGTAAGCTAAGGCGGCCTCTTCGGCCGTGTCGAAGGTGCCGAGCCAATGCCGCTCTTTGGTTGTTGGGTCTCTTATCTCTGCTGCGTATCGTCCCCATGGCCTTCGTCGAACACCTAGAAACCTTCCCGTCGTATCTTGTTGCTGCTTCCTTTTGCTCCTTTTCTCCTGGAAAAGCATGGGGGATGAAGAAGAAGAAGATGAAGATGGATTAGTTGTTGGATTGGTGAAATCCATGATGGATATATAGATTGAGAAGTCGTAGGTTTTCGTTTTAATTTCCTTGTTTCAGCCAGCTAGAGAGAGCGGGGGGAGGGGGTGTCTAAAGTCTAATTCTAATGGAGAGTTTCAGCATTCCTTCTAAACAAAGAAAGTGCATGTCTTTTTCTCTTCTTCGATCTCTACTAGGGTATAAACTAGTTTTGGAGTGTTTTCTGGGTTCTTCTGGCTGCTGCATGTTGGTCGTTTAAATAAATAACGAGGAACCTGGCTACTATATCCATGGCATTTTACTTTCGCTGCCCTTACGATTTTCCAAAATGTCATCCGTAGCCGTAATTTTTCAACCCAACAAAAAATTAACATGGTGGTCACATACTCACATTGACATTGGACTATTGGAGTGCTCTTTTGGACTGGATCACTGGACTACTACTACATTTTGTGATTCGCCGCATCAGTGAATCAAATTTCTGATTAAGTGGGAATCATTTATTGGTGGGTCCTATCACAGTGAACGTGGGCCATATATATTGATTGTTGTAACTCCATTAACAATAGACTTTGCTCTTCATTGGATGAATGACAATTGACAGTTTTCTTTATCGTGGAATGAGTTTCTAATGATGGGAAGATGTTGAGGTTCAAGAAAATTAAAAGAAGAAGAAGAATGTATTGAAGTTGAAGGGTATGATTAGAGATCTAAAACGAAATTATTAGCATGTTCTCTCTCTTAGATCCCAGCAGGTTTTAAGATATTATTCTCCAACCTAAATAATTTAATTGAATTAAATAACTACGTATTAAATTTGATATTTAATTCAATTTAATTATTTAAGGTGGGTGGATCAAAGTTCCTCTTTGCATGCATGTGATTGTTCAAAGGTAAGGATGGTGTTTTGAAGGGGTCTACCCTAATTAATGATGTACTTACCGATCCAACAAAGATTATCTATATATATATAATATATATTGATGCATGAAATAGAATAACCATTGTTTGTGACCTGGAATGTTGGATAAGGTGAAGTACTAAACATCTCCAAGGTTTTGAAGCCTTGTATATCCTGCAGGCTGCAGCAGAATCCTTGTAAAGAGAGTCACCTGCATATCTCCATATACTGTTTAAAGCTATGAAATCATGATTAACTAGCTCAATAATTAACGCAGCAGGTGCATGCCTGAAGGTCCCTAGCTAGCTGGTTAATTATATGAATTGGGCGGACCTTACTTCACACTTTTCTTCTCCATATGATGGGCGGGACCTATCATCAGGCTCAGAATTACTTTTAATAATCAGATTGTCCTTTAGAGCCTTACCAAGTTACTTATCTATATATTTATTTTAGTTCATTTCATTTCATTTATGTATGTGTGCACCATGGGAAGAGAGGAGGACAATATCCCACCCTCCTCCAACCACATATATAGAACAAAAGGCAATTGATCAGATAGAAAATAAAGAATTAATGTATGGGCATCTTGTTTAGAAGTTAGTTATATTAGTGTAATGTCATCTCAAAAACATTAGATGACATTTTGATTTTAACTTTTTCTATTACACATTTTGGTTTTTTTTTTTTTTTGGGGGGGGGGGGGGATTTTGAGATGGGGAGAAGTTGGTCAATGGGATTTTGGTTCCTATTGATCAAGATATTTATGTTCTTTTTTCAGATTTATGTGGGGTCTACGGAAAATTTATTTTTTGTATCATTCACTCGGGTAAGTGATACTCATATCCCAAACGGGTACATAATTAACTTTTCCACCTGGGGGGAAATTGCAAATACTTGAATGAGACAAAATTACTCCTTTTAATAATGACTTTTTATGGCTAAAACGGTCATTAGCTTATTTACCTAGGAAATAAAAGAACATGGGTAAATGCACTTACCGAGATAAATGTTTCTTGCCTAGATAAATGCATTTACCTAGGTAAGTAATTTCTCAAAAAGTGAATAGAGCCTTTAAGTGTTTATAATTCATTGATCAGATTTAAAGATCGAAATATTTAGATAATTGTTCTTTTTAAATATCAACCTTTTTATGACATGATGCCATTAAAATACTATGATCTAACAATGCAAGTATTAGCAGTATAGGAGACCAGATTTAATCCTCACAAAGTTGTCCTTACACCGCCCTCACAGCCTTTTATAGTCATGCATTGGGAACACCTTCATAACTGTATTATTATTATTAGTTTTTTGATAAATGGGAAAAAATAAAAACAATAAAAAACCCCGAACAAAGAAGCCAGCTACACTCCACACAAGATAGCAAAAATCTATAAGATTAAGATCACTGAGAAAGTCTTCAGCCAATAGCTCACACCAAACATGGCCCATACTGTATATTTTATTTATGGGGAGATAGTGGTTGTAAGGGCAGTCTTATGAGGATGAGATCCAAATTCACATCATAGCATTATATAATATAGATATAGATGTGGAAGAGGGTTATATTTGTGTTTTTATCAACATATATGGCTGATAAACTATTGGCCAATGACTTGCTTTTTCTCTTTTCTGAGTGGGTTTTTAATTACCAACTAATCTATTTATCTCATATATTGAATCCCATTAATAGAAATTTCTACAATATGTTATAGTAGGGAGAAAGTGGCGTGGCTCTTCCAATGATTTTTTTTTTCAAATTATTTTAAAATTCAAATTTTACATGAAAAAAAATCTACAAGTTCCACATTATTTTCACTTAGCTATGAGTTACCTGTGGCCTCTCCTCTACCTACCTACCCCAGAAAATAACTTTAAAACGAGAAAGGGAAGGCATCAAATTTCATATGGGTTAAATTTGGGGCTACCAACGACAATATATGAGATCGTTGCCCATATTTCTTGGCCTTTGTCCTCTTTTCTATGATTCCGATTTATCACAGATAAAATAAAACCAATTTATTATTAAGATTCCATTTTTTCAATCATCATGTTGATTAGGGCTGGTAATCCTTAATCCCAACCCATTTGACCCACCCAATCCATTCATCTTGGAATCCACCTAATTTATTGATGGGTCAATATGGGTCGAGCACCTCGTTAGAGTCAGCGGAAAAGGGTTAGGGTGGGTTGGGTCCCGCGGGTCAAGATGGGTTGGGTCAAAGTCAATTCTACCTATACTCACCAAATCTCAAAAATTATAAGCTATAATGATTCAAATTCGAACCTCCTACTATGGAAACATTTTATTACACTTCCAAACCACTATGCCAAATTTCATTTTGTTAATGAAAGTGAAATAAAATAGATTTTAATACCTTTCGTGTTCACATGCAATTTTATACAAAAATACTTTTACAAAAGCAATTTTACAACCACTATGCCAAATTTCATTTTGTTAATGAAAGCGAAATAAAATAGATTTTAATACCTTTCGTGTTCACATGCAATTTTATACAAAAACACTTTTACAAAAGCAATTTTACAAAGTAATTTTATGAAAGCACTTTTACAAAGTACTTATGAAAATACTTTTATAAAAACACTTTATTAAAGTGCTTTTATGAAAACACTTTTATGAAAGTATAAAAGCACTTATAAAAGTATTTTTACACAAAAACATTCTTACAAAAGTACTTTTATGAAAACCCACCCATGAATATTGATAAATAATTAGCACCTGATTGGCTACCAACCACGGTTATGATATCAATTGATTCTTCAAAAGTTTTTCTTAGATATCATATCTTTGTGCTAAATTCGGATCAAGGTATATAGCCTATCCAAATCATCCGAAGCATTTGTAGCCCTTGTGACAAAAAAAAAAAAAGTAGGAAGACATGTGATTGGGTTCTAACAAGATTTTGTGGTCGGAAGAAATAAAAACAAAAGAGTGGAATTCAAAGAAAAAAAAGATGGGGAGGTGATTATTTATATGAGTTTTGAATAAGCCATGCATGTTACCTAATCCTTACTTGTATTATTGTATATGGAGGGGAGGGGTTATTAAGATAATCATTAATTGATGATCCATGTGCATTTTCAATTTAAGCCAAAATCTCCTTTTTCAACACCATTGAAATGACTTTTCTACTTTTATAATTAAATTAACACCAAAGGTTTTTGAAGCACCCCCCTTGTTGGGTTGCATGTGGGAGGGACACATTAACATATAGGAAAAATTCGCCTTTTTTTAAAGAAAATGATGACTAGGCACACTACCTACATGGCAAGAGAAAATGTGAAATCAAGTAGGCCTTGACCAAGTGAGCCTTCTATTGTAAGGTCCATTCATTCACATTTATTACAAATATATATATACATATATATATATATATTTATTTATTTAAATTCCTTTAATTTCTGGGTACCAACCCCCTCCTTTCTAAGTTTTAAATTTTAATCCTATGTCTGAACTCTGATATTAGCCAGGGTTGTTAAGTGATTCTATAGGTTGTCATGCGTGACCAGCGTTGCAACCTTGTTCTTCCAAGAACCACATTATATAGGAATACAAATTTAGGTTCCTCCGCTTGTTTTCTTATTCAATTTGAAAGGACTACAAATACAAATATATAGAGTGCAAAATCTGACATTTTGTATTTATTTATACTGTGAGAATTTGCTTCTTCTTCTTTGCTTTTCTACACATCTCGCTCCTGTAATAGAATGGCACAGGGGCTAGATCAATATGCTATCAGGCGGCACAATCAACCCATGATCTGGTCAATTGTTTTTGAAGATTTATGGGGTTAGATGAGATGTAATATTTTGTTTGGGTGAATGAAAAATTGCGTTTGGCTAAAAGAAGAAAAAAAAAAAAAAAACTCACAAGTGACAAACTTCGAACTTGGAAGGATCTTATGATATGGCAAAATAGGATCTTATCTATGGGACCAGTTTAGAAAGAATACAAATACAAATCTATACAATATAAAATACAAAGTTTTACACTCTATATGTATATATATATATATTTGTATTTAGACTCTTTCTTTAGGTTCAGTTTGGAAAAACCTTATAGTGTAAATATAAGGTTTAGAAATTTAAACATATATGATT